GTCTTTGCCTTGAAAATCAAGTATGGGACATATGATTTACTATGTTCCATAACTCGATTTTCAAGGCAAAAACCCCATATAGCAAACGGTGCAGGGTGCACCAAAAAATAATGCCCTTTCAAATATTACAAGTTCTAACGAAGTTTTCTCAATAACTACCAATCCAAATTTAATGATTTTTTTTTATTTTTAATTTTACGAAAGTATAAAAAAAATTACTAAATTTGCTCATGTAGTTATTGAGAAACCTTCGCTATAAGTTTTAAAAAATTTTCTAATCGGTCGCGTATGTATGTTATCGATCATGTGCTAATCTAAAAATTTGATTGGCTGGTACATCACATAGCGCAGAGTTTTTCAACCACATGATTACTGCGTCATTTCGAAATTTTCATATGATCGAGAATCTGCATATTTTGAATGTATCAATGGATAGCGGAGGTACGTACGTACCAATGCGATGTCAAGCGGAAATAAGTATATTGACGATTGCATAAAAAAATTCAAATTAAAACTAATACATATGAGCGTATGATCGAATGGATTTCGTTCAATAAATTAGTTAATGATGGAGGGTGAAAGAGAAATTAAAATATATTAACAATACGATTTTTTTGATGATGATGAGTATTTAATTTTATGATGATTTAATTGATAAACCAAGAACGCGTAAACCATCAATCACTGTTGCACTCAAGGCATTGTCAGGTTCAAAGAAAAATACTCACGAATTTTTGAAGGTGGTAAGATTAATTATAATTTATTAAGTTCATTTTTAACCAATTCATTAATATAAATATATTAAGTTTGAAAATCATATGAATTGTATATTATGGGGTAGTAGTTTAAAGATATATGGATTGACTCAAAATGCGGGAGATCTTCATGAATTTTTAAGAACCAATCTTCAAGATATTTATTGGTATAATAAATTAAAACTACTTTCATGTAATTTATGCAGGATATATTCATGCAGATTTCCATAGTAATATTTTGCTAGATGGAATAAATACTCTGAGAGCTTATATATCAGATCTTGGACAATGATGAAAATGATTTAGAAGTACTACCGTTTGTTGCCCCAGAGGTTCTGGAATGAAAACCTACCACCCAAGCCGTCGATATCTATGAATTTGGGGTCATAATGGTCGAGGTGTCTACCCATCAAAGGCCTTTTGATGGGCTTACATTCGATACTTATCTCGTGATAAAGATTTTTAACGGACTGCAACCCGAATTCGTTCCTGGGACTCCAGGTTGTTACGTTGAACTCGCAAATGAATGCATGGATTCTAATCCGCAAAAACAGCCTACTGCTTACTATATTACTGTATTAAAAATAAATTCATGAATGGTGCCGTAGCATGAATCATAAATACATAGATGAAATCAAAAAGCAATTCTCAGATGCTGATAGAATTGGCAAAAAATTACCGATTATTGACCAAAAACACCAACACGCCGCCGAAATGTTATCTAAAGTCAATGGGTCTAAAAGAAATTTCTAATAATGTATCATTTTTTTTATTTAATTTATCGAACTTCATTGTAACTAGATACTTTTTTGACAAATAAATCGAATTGAGCAGATTATATGAAAAATACGGATCGCATCCCTAATATGTTCCATGCAATAAATTTTGAATTTTATCTCATGTCTTAGAGTCTTATTTTCTGGTAGAGAAAATTTAATACATGCCACGTATACGCCTAACACTTAAAGAAAAAATTCTCTTGGAGTTAATCACGACGTTTATCGTTATGAAAAAGCACGGATATAATGATTACAACGATGCAAACCTATAATGCAAAACATGCGGACGGCGCGATAATTTTCGAATAATAAAATAGAAGTACTGTATCAATTTGGTAATACTGTATTGTACAAGAATAAATTCTAACCTTACCTGCTCAAAGTACCAAAATAAAATTCCTCGCTTATTAGTAAAGCTTTAGGAAAGTTAAAGAACTTAAATATAAATTATTCCGGAACTATTTCCAAGGAATCAATAAATACCTCGTAGGTGCATAGAATATTAGGTTTCAACTTTTAATTTGACACGTGGTTGTGAATTATTTTGAGTTTCAATAATGCATGTAATAATGGTCAAAAAACACAGTTGGCGTTGAAGCGTATCCATCTGGTCGAGCGCAGTCATTCACAGGTGGACACTCGGTCCCTGCTTATCCGATGGATGAGCTCAGTCTTTTCCCGACCTTCAACTTAATACCTAGCAGACGCTTGCGCAGGGGTTGTGATTTTCATATTTATATGAAAACATCCTAAGAATTCAAGCGAGTAAGCTCAGTTTTTTCTGCTCGAGTAAACCAATTGTGTTTCTGAAGTCGCTCAGATTAGTAAACAACCTGTTGTTTACAGCATAGCAGAAGTTCGTTTTAATTGGCTAAAATGTGAATAAATATGATTGGCGATGATCATTTATTTATACAGTCAATTGTAAATTTTAAAATACTTCTATTAGTAAAAAT